CCCTTGTAGGATACCTTGATCTTTGGTTTGCCGCCATCGCTGACCACCGTGAACGGCCAGTGCTTCATGTCGCTCTGCACCGTCGCATCATCGAAACGACGACCAATCAAACGCTTCGCATCTTTATAGAAAAATGATAAAGATTCGTAAGTTGTCTATTTCTTCAATAATCATCTCTTAAAGTATATGGTGCGATGAGATGGAGAAGAGGAGGATCCTGTGGATTGTGTCGGATTACGGAGGTGATGGTTGCGGAATGTTGAATTATCGCCGAGCCGGTAAACAGAAATGTTCAACACTTGCCAATACTTTGATATAATTCGTACAAAGATAATTTTGTGTGAGAAAAAGAATTATGGAATAATCTACTTACCGCGAATTATATTATAATCGTGAAAATAGATCGAAAAAATTCGTGAAATAATTATCACATATACAGAACACAATAGAAAATCGTATCATATATATAGACCACATTATAAAATTTACGTTATACGTATAATATAAATTTTTAAAACAATAAAATATACGTATTTTTATTTTTATTATATATTTTTAATTATATTATCTGAATTATTATCTTTATTGTGCATTGATATTCGTATATATATTTATTTCATATATTCTGAAGAGTTAAATAAGCATGTGACTTTGAACGAATATATCGCGTGAGTCACTCTTTGATTTACGATTCAACGTAAATTTGTGTGACACCGTAGCTGGCACATAAATTAGGATTACATAAAACTGCGATGTATAAACGTCAAAACGCTCGGCTACAATGTAAAGGATGGGTGGGAGCGCCGGGAGTGGGGAAGGAGGAAATTATGTACAGAGAGGCATGCACCGTGTGGTATCGGGCAAGGTCACCGCAAGTAAAACGCAGTAAAACGCGATTGAGATAATTCGACTTCCAAGCACGGAAAGTTCCACGTTCGATCGATCTCGAAGTCCAACAATTTAAAAACAACGTACAATTCGTCTTAAAAAAAAAAAAATCAATACGAGGCTTGCAACGTCATAAATTTACCTCGAAAAGCGAAAAATATTAACAAAATGTTATTGATGCGTATCTCGCCAAATTACACTAGCAAGTTATATCTCGCTATTAATCATCCGTGCATTTTCGTGTATTTCAGCATCGGCTTTTTAAAAATTTAAACAAAAAAAATTTCATGTTTATTTCTTGAAGGATCTACGAAGAAATTCAATCGATACAACTCGTTCCTTGCAATCAGTGTAAGGGATATCCGTTGAATAACATTGGATATATTTCACCAGTTGAATATCGAAGCAACACGTTGGCGAGTTAAAGATCAATAAAGGGATACGACGCAAAATATCCGGTGTCTCATGGGGCGGGACCTTCCAATGCGACTGCGACGCAAAAGGGGTAGGGTATCTACGAAACGTGACAAACAAAAGCTCGACTTACCGAAGATGGTGTTGCTGGGGTTCATGGCGACCTGATTCTTGGCCGCGTCGCCGATCAGCCTCTCGGTGTCGGTGAAGGCCACATAGCTCGGCGTGGTCCGGTTGCCCTGGTCGTTGGCGATGATCTCGACCTTCCCGTGCTGGAAGACACCCACGCACGAGTACGTGGTGCCCAGGTCAATTCCAACTGCCGGTGCTTTCGACATTGTCAGTCTTCTCTCTTATGTGTAATCACTGAAATGAAAAACCGACAGCTGATTGAGCTGATGACAAACGCGATACGATGTGCGTCACGATTAAAAAAAAAATAAAAATAGAAGAAAACAATTCGACGTTGCTCGAACTCGAGCGAGCCTCCGCGCTCGAAATAACGCCTATTATACGCCTACGAAATATAAAACGTATACCGCCGTTATACGCTTCTCGAATTTCACTGATATTGATCGTCGGAAGCGCCCTTTTGCGAAGAGCGTATAATCTGCGTATTTCGAAACGTGCGATTCTGTCACGACAAAAAAAATCGTCACAAGTAAAGCGAACTTAAAACTTTCCGATCTAAATTTGCAAACGCTCGATGAAGTCTGGATTGATCATTCGGAAATATCGTCCAGAGACAATCTTCTTCTTTCTCCAAGATTATTTGCACTTGACAACGAATTTATGTCTTGGATTAAAAGAGACCGAGATAATATCGAAAAAAGAAAACTTGCATTTTATCTCTGTAATTTCGATGAAAATCTCGGCACCGACACGATTAATTTTCGACGCACAATTAAATAAACAGCTCAAATAACCTCATTCGAGCACTCACCTTGCAACAGTCTCTTTAACACGTTCGAAGAATGAAGATTTGATTCGCTAGTCGAGTACTTTGAATACACTGCTTCTTGTCGCACTTGCACTCTCTCGTGTTCGTTGCGAAACTGATGACGCAGCCGCGCGCCGCGCTTTAATATACCGAATCGCCCGCTTCGAGAATCTTCGGCGGATGACCAATCGGGGCGCGAATCTTCGAGACCCGTGCTCGAGACGCTTCCATTGGCGGACGCGGCCGGACGTGGGAGCTAGAAGAAGAGTCGCGCGCGTGCGCCGCGCGGGAGGAAGAAGGACAGAGAGAAGAAAGTTTCCTATCGTAGGTAGACGATGGTCGCGTTCTCGCGTTGCTCGCATGCGCTAGAAGATTCATGACTATAATTAGCACCGTGCGAATTGCGTTTCGTCGTGGCGCCTCGATGAAGCGAAGACTTCGTTTTTTGCGAAATCTATTTGATGTACGCTTGATCGAATGTACCGATCGTTCGCGATTATTCGCATACTTTCTAGAAACTGCGCAGCCGTTCCGAACTCGAGCAAACGCGCGTTTGCGCAGAAGGATCTCGGGCATTCGAGAGAACGCGAGATATTTGTCGAAGTTTTCGTCGTTCTTACAGAATGTCCGCCTCGTTTCTCCAAATCTTCGATCTCGGAAGTTTTCTTCTCGATTTACCGATGAAAAGCAGAACTAAATGTGTACAAAAAAGACGAATTTTATTAGAATTATTATTATTAGCTCACTGAACTTTTCTTTGACACTACCATAAGAATTTTAAATGTCTCTATAATAAATTGTCATAAATGACACCATCACGCTTTAAATGCAATTAAATAGATTTTGCATCGAAGAAGACGAATAAGGATGAGGTGTATTGAATTTTTTTAAATGCATACTTTATTTTCAAGCATTTTTTATGTTATTGACCGACGTTTGATAGGTTTTTAACTCGGCCGAAAAGTGGCAAGGATTGCAAAATGCTATACAATTTATTTAAAGATTATCGTAAAATATTCCAAGCGATTCTAATTTTAGCTTTATTGAGTGTATATAAAAATAGCCGTCGCAAAGATAACGCTTTACAAAATAGAAATCTTTAGCAGCACCATCTAAATAAAATAACCGCAAACTCGACGGCACTTTCAACATTGTCGATAAAAAATTCAAAGATTACTAAAACTTTCCTGAAATTGGATAATTAGAAAACGTTATCGGTCTTTAAGGACGACTAATAAACTCAGTCAGCAAAAAATTTTAATTTGTCAAATACCGAGATAGTATTTCAATAACATGGATAGGATTCTGGATTATTAATTTCTTATTGCTTGACACAGAAAAGAAGCTCAAATTAGAGACAATGGCCAAGCCAAGATAAGTGTATGTATACATATGTATACGCGGCATCGCATATGTTATGTTACGTATCGCGCGTCTGATTGGTCGCGAGACATGAGATAATAGCTAGAGTCCCTAGAAGTAAGAGTTTGACCGGTCGCGTCGTCAGTCCATTGGTCGGTTGGTCGGCGATCGCTCGCCTGACGCAACGAGGCTGAACGAGGCTAGACTGGCTAGGGCTAAAGGGACTCTAGTTAGGACTAGAGGCTAGCCTCCGTGGCCCGTGGCCTTCCCGTCCAAGCTGTCAAGTGTAATGTAGGAGAACCGTGCTCCGACTCCTCGTCGTTCCGATCGTCGACGCGTTGCTGCACGAATGCGATCGCGCGTGGAACGACACGCGTGTGCATACTGTGTGCATTATGTGATATATTCGCGGTCTAGCAACGGTGTACGCAAGCACAGCGGCCTCGAGGCCCTCGAGCCCTACGCTCCGCGCTTGTAAACATCAACGCCATAACCGCGCTCACCGTGGCGTACCAGCAGGTCTTCCGTTATGAATGCTTAGTAAGTATCTCCTCCGTTCTTTCCTCAGTCTCGCCCGAGTCCCGCCGTCGTCGTAATTCGAAACGTTTGGCTTCGCCAATGTGGCGACACGGCGACCGCAGTTCTCGCTCCAAGATCCATCGGTTAACTATACTGAATCAATATGGTAGTTTGCATCTCTTCGTGTTTATTAATAGAATATCGCGCAAAATTGATTATCCCAAGTTCTTCGTAAGCTTCCTAGGTCTGTTTTCCCGTTGCGTTAAAGAGGGACAGTCTACTCCCCCTTTTTTTCCCCTTCCAGTATGACTGATACATTATCTGCAGAGCTCGCAACCTTTCCTTTTCTCATCCTGTTGGTCAGAAAAGGAAATACATATATTTGCATTAATAGATATGTTATTATCTCACACACAAAGTTGGTTATACAACTAGCCCATAAGTTTCCTAGATCCGTCTTCCTATCGCGTCGAAGAAGACTCGTCTAGCTTCTTTTTTCCTCTTCCTGTATGACCGATGAATTGTTTATGGAGTTTGTAAACTTTCCTCTTTCTCCATCCTGTTAATCGGAAAAAGGAAACACACGTATTTGAGTTATCAATAGGATTTGATGAATAACTAATGATCTAACATCAATAAAACCAGGCATCTATTGTTTTAACAATTGTACGGCTTATTTTTTATTAACAGTGGGAAAGTATGCTGTTTTTCGCTTGTTGAGGTTCTTTGCACGTAACACTTATACTAATCACCGTTTGCATTTAACGAGAAACTTATAAAACTTGTTTGTACCATGCATGCAGTAACAGAGATGCACCGGGCGTATCAGGGAATGCCTTTGATTGCTGGGTTCAAAAGTCTATGCATGACGATTCTGCCATCATAAAGATGCAATACCAATTCTGGGTGAGAAAGCAGGCCTTGTCCCAGAAATTGGGGAAGAAGGAGGACGAGTGTATAGTCGCGTCGGACGCTGAGCTGGACGCGAAGCTAGAATTGTTCCGCAGTATCCAAGATTCCTGTTCCTACTTACAAAGGGTTATTGATAAATATCAAGAAAGATTATGCAGTGCGTTCTAACATAATTTTTAATATGAAATAATTGCATCAATTACCATATATTTGTCGTAGTATTTGTTTCCCCGAGATGAATTTGACTATCAGGATATTGCGATAATGGGATAATTTAACTTGTTTAGATTTAGCCCAGGAGGAAAATGGAATGGGACGTTTCTTGAAAGATGCCGGGAAGCAGGACAAAACTCGCGCCGGCAAAATGATGTCGGCAGTTGGCAAATCCCTGTCTTACTCCGGTCAACAGAGGCTCGCATTGAGAGCACCCTTGGGCCGATTGTATCAGGAGGTGGAAACATTTAGGCAAAGAGCTATTGACGATACGTTACAAAATGTACAAGCGATGGAAAAGGCCCGTACGGAATACCGAGCTGCTCTGTCGTGGATGAAAAATATTTCCCATGATTTGGATCCAGATACGTCCAAACAACTGGAAAAATATAAAAAAGTTCAAGCACGTGTTAAGCAGTAGGTTCTATATTTTGGACATTTACTTAATGCAAAGTACAATGTACAATCTCACAATTTCGATCAGTATCTTTTTATTCAAATTATCATATTATGCTTGATCAGATAGTACACTTCCGTTTTCGTTCTTATAAATTTGTTCTAATTACATGTTTATAAAATATCGCAAGGGATTTATATCCTATGTATGTATATATTTGTTGTGCTTTAGAGGCAAAATAGTTTTTGACAATCTGGCCCTCGACTGTCTCCAGAAGGTTGATTTATTAGCGGCAGCAAGGTGTAACATGTTCAGTCATGCCTTAGTTTTATACCAAACCACACTCCTGAATTTCACGAAGAAATCTGCACAAGCATATTCCACAATAGCCAACAGCTTCAAAGGCTATCAACGTTATGACTTCACGGTTGTGCGAGAGCTGGCTGAAACCTCCAGTAAATTGGCGCAGGAAACTGGCGGTGACGACGATTTGGAGGACAAGGATAAGTGAGTTGCACAAAATGAGAATAAATCCTCTGTGTGTTTTCATTTTCGTCATATCTATTTTTACAGATTACAATTTTTTGACATGGATTATCACGACGACGTTGAGGAAGCTCAAGAGGCTACCGCAAATTCGGGAAGCACATCGGAGAAAAATAAGAAAGATGAGAAGCTCTTGGACATAGAAAATGAGCCGAAGGATACATTGATACATTTGGAGACGACCGCAGATTCTTCGAGAAACGGAATCGTGCATAGTACCAAAGATACGGAGAATGATAAAAGTCTCGAGGAGTTCTTTGGAAATCTTATCCTGGAGAAAGACACGTCCAATAGTACGGAACAATCGGTTAATAAAACTGAAAAAAATAATCATACGGTATTCAATAGAAGCTCCGAGGGGCAGAAATCGGTAATGGATATATTCGGGGAGTGCAATCTCGATTTTAATTTGGCTGATTTGTCGCCCTTGTCATCGGAGACTCGACAACAGCAATCGTTAAATTTATTAACCTCCGAGAGCGCGGCGCTTTTCGATGAAATCCTGAACGACAAGCAACAACAATGCATGAGCAATGATTGGGAAGGCATATCACACGACACTTTTCTACCGCCAAGCATTTTGAAGCAGAGTCTAGGGGACGCAGCATTAGGTATGGGACAGAAGAGCACGACTAGTAACACAGACGATAAAGTAAGTATTCGCCAACTGCTGCATTGAATAGTAATAATGCGAATCTCGCACAATTAATATATCGCAATATTATTTTCATAGAAAAAGAATAAGACTGGAAAGCAGAAAGGTAACTCGTGGTTGGATTTATTCGCAGAATTGGATCCATTGGCTAACAATCCAATGGAGAATCTTTCCGGTGATAGTAATGCTTCTGCTTAATTCATAATGCATTTTAATGGTATATGCCCTCTCACTTGATATTTTACTAACGATAAGAAAAACTGATCAAGTTATCGTTCGTTATCGATAAGTGATGCGGTGAGCGCATAATTCATATTTTCACTTCATACGTTTGTATCAGTAATTATCAGTATGTAAACTTTTAACATTCCACATTTATTTTTATCGTCATAAGAATTGCCATAAGAATCAAAACCGTTTGAATTATTACATAATTTTTCATATAAGCTAAAGACAGATACCAAAGATATAAAATGTAATGTTTATTAACCATCATGCGCTAGTTATATTTTCTTTCAAATATATATATATATATATACACATTACAAGATCTTCAATATATAAATTTAATATGGAATTCTTTGTATTTCTGACGGATATATTTAAAGGTATGGAAGTATACCGCATAAGAGTGTATTTACTTTCTATTTATTTCAATTTCTTTTCATGATTTTACTTATCCCTTTAAATTCTGTTTATTGCATATGACAATCCACATCTGAAGCCTCTGCTTGTAAATCAATGTTGTACATAATATATATCAAACACTTCCTTTGACGTAAGCAAACGAATCATGTGTAATCCGCGTTACTTTCCTCTATTAAGTTAAATAAATACTACAGAGACAGATTACAGGCATAGGCTCAGAAATATCAGTTTGTTCGTCTTGTTTGTAACTTTCGATTATACATTGTCAACCGAGGTGATCACAGTATTAACAGCTAAACTCCTAATTTATTTCAAATATAAAAAAGACACTTGAAATCATAACCTAATCTTCATCGGCGAAACGTCCCAAGTTCAAGGTTCGTAGAATTGCGATAGGGCAGTCTTGACTCTGAAACGGAAACGACGAATGAGATCCCCGTTGTACAAAAAGTTTTGCGATACGACGTACGACAATAATTTAGCACGTAATGGTTCATCTTTCGTACTTCTCAAATAGCTGAGTGTCTTTCGTGTGACGTAATTGTTGCAAAATACGATGAATTCCTAATTCCCGCAGACGCGCTTGCCGCTGCGCGGCGCCGGGTTCCTCTCTCCAGACTAGGTTGCATACACAAAAAATAGCAGCGACTTGCAGTTTCACGTTGCTGTGCATCTAAATGAAATGTAGACACGTAAAACGTTGAGTCGTACAAACGATGGCCATTCAAAAGATATAACTATTAAATTAATAGATAGGATTCGCGAAAAAAATACAAAATACTTGATCGATTTAAGCACACACTTGGAGCTTATGGTAAAAGCTGTAATTTTTTTGGTGTCGTTGATAAAACAGCTGCTCCATAAGTACGAGCAACGCGACTTGTTTTTTCACCGAATCTAAAACTCTTTTATTATCCTATCTATTAACAGAGTTAATTGTCCAGAAATATGCAATTAATGAAGTACTCGTAATAACTATACACTGTACGAACCATATAATCCATGAGTTTCTTAAGCACGTCGTCATTAGCCATGATGTGATCTCTAGCTCGGTCGCCGTCGGCCACATTTGCTAAAATGCAAAGTGCTTGCTCTTTGACGTCCGCCGGGTGTTCAGGATCTTCCAGTACTAGAATGACCGCTTGCATAACATGCGTGGCGTGCTCGCCCATTATACGATCTATGTGAGCTTTAGTGGAAAGCAAATTTCGCAACAGGCCCAGCGTTTTCATCAGGACGCCTAACTCAGGATCGGCCAAGAGACGAAATATCTGATCTGTCCCCAAGCACGAGAGTATTTGCGACTTTACACGTTGCTCCGCTTGAAAGGCCACGTTCATTAGGGCCCAAATGCCGTTCAGTCGGAGTGCCGATTCGGGCCGTTTAGTGAGAGAACACAATAACTCTACTCCGCCGGACTCGAGAATTGGCTCTTTGCTCGGACTAAACTCCAACAGTAAATTACATAAAGTACTCGAGGCAACAGTTAATAAATCACCTTCACCTTCGCCTCTACCTATAGTACAATAATGACAATGTTAATAGTAACTCATATATAGTCGGCGATTGAATACTAATAATAACAGCTAATTACAAGCACTGATCTCTTTATTCTTGCTCATCTTTTTGAAAAATAATCTTACAATGCAGAGAGAAAAGAATAGGGATGTATTTCTGTCTACACGCATGAAAAAACAGTCGCCCTGTTTAAATTCACGTTTCATTGTTATATCTAAATATCTTTCTCGCGAAATGCTAATATGGCAAACGGAAATGTAAAAGGTTGCGAACTTTTCTTGATGCGTGTATTTTTAATTCAGCTACAGTTTATTCTTGTCTTAAATAGAATAAAGAAAGAATAACTCACATTGTACATCAATAACCCTCTTTTTGATATTGCATCTTTTTTTTTCTTTCTTTTTGATTTAAGACGTTAATTCGAAATTTGAGGCTAAATATACGTATCTTGTATCTTACATGCAATATATATGCATGCAACATACATGTTCCTCAGTGTTTATTATAGCGTAACTCTGTAATGCTTATATCGTAAATGTATTATCATATTTTACCCTCCAACCCTTTGTCCGCTCCGTGTAACAACTGCATAAGCGGCCTCCATACTGCATGATCCTGAAACGTAGTGCGAAGCTGTTGCACGCTCCTCGATAGGGAGTGCAAACATCTAACCGCGGCTAAACGAACACGTGATCCACCAGGATCCTGAAGACCAGAAACAACTTGTTCCATAAGACTTTCCGTTTCGATAATACGCTTTCGAATATCTTCGTCATTCGCTCCGAGAGATGCGAATGCTCTGAACGCAGCTTGTCGCATATCTTGCGTTAATGTTGCATCCTGGACCTGAGCAAGACAATATTACACACGATTTTTACTTAAGCACCATTGTACAATACAATCTAATGACTCGGATTATTTTTCTCTTCATCAATTCTACAAATTCAGTAGGTAAATTCTCAATGTATTTAAATGTAATTTCTGCTTACTTGCGGGTGCGGTCTCAATAACTCCGCCAGTGTCGGTATCAAATGATTGCTAATGGAAGCTAAACGCTGTAGATCTGTGTCGACCTCGGTCAGATACGCAAGTGTCTCGGCCGCGGCGACTCTCTCGCGCGGCGGTCGGTCCCGATGGCACAAGCGTACAAGGCAGGGTAACGCGCGATACACCACTCGCGGATCAGTGGACGGCAATGCACCGGCCCTGTGCATATACGCAATGCACCTCGCCGCTTCGAGCTGTATCAACGAACTCTTCTCGCGTCCCATTAATTGGCCTAGCGCGACTGGGACCAATCTACCGTGAACAGTATTACTCGTACTGGCTGAAGCGACCATAGCCGACACCATGTGATTCTGGTAACACATGTTTGCTAAGCAGGCTAGAGCGGGTAGTTGAACATCGGATAGGGGAGAATCCAGTTGCATCGCCAACGTTTCTACGGCTCCACCTTTGGACAGAGCGTTCTGCTCCTCCGTCGTCTGACAAGCAATTTGTGGATTAGTTCCTTCTTACGACACTTGTATACACCTCACTTAAATACTCCATAAGAGTTTCAGACCTCTCTTTACCTTACATGCTGTAGTTAAGATTGTCGCGACACAGACTTGACAGGTGACCGATCGACTCGCCAGGGACAACAACCGTGGTACTAACGCAGGATCCTGATAAATCGAGTGAACTGGAGCTGCCGCATGCTGGAACACCGTGCGCAGGCACCGCAAGCAGGCCTCGTGCAGCAGATCCAGCACTTTCATCTTGCCGTCCGCGACGATCTCGGGGGTCGGCGAGGAGAGCAAGACTTGAAGGAGCAACGGTACTACACCTAAGTCTATAAGCGCCAATACGTGTTGATCCGTGCCCTTGGCTAGGGAACCCAACGTTACAGCCGATTCTAATCGTATACGATCGCCGATGGTACCGGACGTGTCTCCGAGCAGCTGCAAGAGCCGGGGCACCACACCCTGAGCTATGACCGAACCCTTTTGCCTGTTGCTGCCGATCACTGAGTTCTTGAGGCATCTGAGAGAGACCAGATTCGTGAAACAATTAATATAGTTCTCCTTTATCAGTCGCAGAAATATAAATAGTAAACGTATAAATAGAGGAAATAAAAACGTTGAAAATTTTCAATCATACCGTAGAGGAGCGTTAATCCTTAAGGTTAAGGGCGATTTCTTTTTTTTTTTTTTATCGAACTCACATAATCGCTTCCAGGCATTTCTGCGCGTCCGGGGAATATAGCTCGTCGATGTAACTCCTGGAGCTCTCGATGTCCTGCAAGAAGATCGCGAGAGGATTGCGATGTAGCGTCGCGTTACAGGGAGCAACGGTGGGGCTCCCGCGGGGGATCCGTTGTCAAAAAAACGGGCCGTTTTACCGGGGGCCGCTCACGAATCCGATCGAACGTCGAACTCACCATGTACGGCTGCATCACCGACACCATCCTCGCTCGGCTACGTTCTCACATAAATGTCCCGTAAAACGTTCCGCTCGGTCGAGCTTCCTGGCGCGACGACTGCCACGAGGAACCGTCAGCGACCGTCAGATCCAGTTTGCGTGCTAACGCGAGACGTTCGCGATTCGGTCGTGCGCTGCGTTCTCGCTCGCGTTCTGAAAAATAAGCTCGACTCGCTGCCAATGGCGCCAACATCACGACGTGATACGTGATATCGGAGCTCGGAGCAAGTCCTTCCCGCCCCCCTAATTCCCTTTCCGCATATTAATTCTTTCTTTCGAATAAAACGAGTGTAGATCTTGAATGGTAATTTATAATTAAGAATCCAGTCTGCGGGTTATTTTGAACTAATTTACGAAACAAATTTTCTGGAATTTATGAAGTAAATTGCAATTTTTTACTCTGTACGAAATACACTTGCGTATAAAGTAAAAAGTGCGCACTTTCGACCAAAAGATTACTGCACTTTTTCCGATGAGTTTTAGAACCCGCCGGTATTTTAAAAGTGCGGATTAGCGTCCCATAGATTTACGCAGTTGACGATAGTTATGTCATTTAAATGCAGTATATGTGTGTACTGCACACATAC